GCCTGTCTCTGCCACTGAGCTCCCACCTGCTCGGTGACAAATTTGTTGACATCCTGGTCCTCGGGCAGGAATTCCTTCCAGCTCAGGCCCCCGTCCCGCCACAGCTTGCCGGCGGTCTTCTGGCCCTGCAGGACAGGCAGGCAGTCAGCACCGGCACCCCATGCCCTCCATCTCCAGGGAGCGGGATACAGCGGCTCGGCCACGCCACCCCCGGGACCCGGACATGGCAAGGGAAGCCCCCCGCCATCCCCTCTGGTGGCAGAGGAGCTCGGTCCCTGCATGCCAACCTGCCCCCACGAGCAGGCTGCCGGTCCCCGGGACAGCGCCGGCAGCTACGCGAGCCCCACGCACTTACCATGCACTTGCACAACAAGCCCAGCACCTCGACCAGCAGCGTGGTGGCCTTCCCAATGGGCACCAGGGGCTTCGTTATCTCCCTGCGGGGCACGAGACCTAGCTGAGCGACCTGCCCCCAGGAGACCCCCTGGGACCCCAGGGCAGCCCTGCGGAGGGGCACGGCCCTCACCTGAACAGCTCCTCCATGGGGATGCCTTCTTCCTGCAGGATGGGCGTGATGAGCTCGGCCAGGTACAGCCAGATGTGCGGGATGTCGATCTCCATGTCTTCCGCGACCTCCAGGATCTCCCGCAACCTGGGGGCAGAGGGGGGCCGTTGGGATCCAGCAGCCCCCACGCCCTCAGCTGGGAGGGACCTCGGGAGGTCTCAGCGATGGAGCCCCACTCGAGGCAGGGCCGAATTCAGAGCCGGGCGAACACCAGCTCGGGGCCAGGCTGCCCCGGCCCCTCACCCTTTGTAGTACTGCTCCTTGGCGAGCGTGCCCGCCTTCACCAGCTGGCACAGCAGGACCCCCATGTGCTCGCGGGAGATGGTGCTCCTCTCCAGCGTGGACTCGATGCCGTTCTGCACGAAGATGTAGAGCGAGGAGGGGCTGCCCAGCTCCTGCACGCACTGCAGGGCCTCCTGCGGGGAAAAAAGGGGGGTCAGTACTGTCCCACGGCCAGCCACGGCCCCCCCCTTCCCCACCCGGGCACCGCCGGCCCCCAGCCCAACAGTGCTACAGCCCAGGGAAGGGGACGGAGTGTCACACGGGCCATACGACGTGGTGCCTGGCCACCCCCTCCTTTCACCTTCATGTCATTGATGTGCAGGTATTCCTCTATGATCGCCTTGGATTTCTTCTCCAGCTCCTCGTCCGACAGCGCGGGCTTGGGGGATGCTGTGGGAGGTGCTGGTTCTTGCTTAACTGCGAGGAGAGAGCAAGGATCAGGCCACCGCGCGGGACAGGCAGAGCCCCGGGTCGCAGCCAGACCCCCAGGACACCGCCGCTCCCTGGCTCACTGGTCTCTCGGCTCCTGTCCCGTTCCCCCATCATGCCAGCAGCC